GTTTTGTGGAAGCTACTAGTAATTGTAGCATTTTCTTTATTGTTTTTCAGCATGGGTAGAAATGTTTTTGCTGGATTGTAACATAGTAACTGTAGTCACACAATAATCTCTTTGAGATACTTTTTAAAATAATTTAAAAGCAAAAGTTTAGGGCAGTAGGTTAGCTCATTGAACCATTCCTATGTTGGGCTAATTTTTTGATCCATGCTTTTGCCATCACTGTTGTCAGAGGACAGTCAGTTAACCTGGGGAACACTTAGAATTGACAAACTGAATCTTTGGGTGTTTGCAGCCAACTTCTTGAATGTGGAAGACTCAAAGTTGTACTGTAGGTAGTATCTTTCAGCTGCCTGAAACAGCATAATCTAAGACATGATGAGAAAAATGACCTAATATAAAGCTTTTAGAGAGCCTTTTATCTTTTCCCCTTCATATCAGGCTTTCACCACCTACGTTTCCCATATTATTCTTATTTAGAAGGTGGAAAATGACAGGTTCTGTCTGTCAGAGGTTCAGATCCCAGAGTTGACATTAAGTTTTAAATGATCTGCAGGCTTGACTGCATATGCAGATAGTGTAGTCTTTCTGTTTAGACCAGTGGTCAGGCTGAGCTGGTTAGGCACCTAACAGTGTTAGCACTTTAGTATGAAGGAGCTATGTAGAGGTGACATAATGTTAGAGTTTAGGACTCAGAGTTTGGAGTTAGGCTACTTGGGATTACAATTTAGGCATTTCCACTTAGTAGCTTTGTGATTTTGGGAAAGTTTCTTGATCTCTCTGAATTCAGTTTACTCATTTTTTTTAAACAGTTTTATTTAAATTCCAGTTAGTTAATGTAGTATAATCTCAGTTAAAGGTGTACAGTTTAGTGATTCAGCACTTCCATACAATACATCTTGTGCTCGTCATGACAGGTGCGCTCCTTCATCCCCATCACCTGTTTCCTCATCCCCCCCCTCCCCCCCACTGGTCACCATCAGTGTGTTTTCTGGAGTTCAGAGTTACAGGTCTAGTTTTTAATTCCTGCTTTACAAGAAGAGTTTAAGTAAATTCTTAAAGTTCATGGCTAGTAAGTATCCAAACCAGAATTTGAATCCAAATAGTTTGGCTCCAGAACCCAGTCACTTCCCAGCATGCACTTCTGTACCTCTCAGAGATGGAAAGCGAAGCGTACTTTCACCCTTTATTTTGTCATACGTCTATGTTGGATTCTTTTCTAGAGTGAGCATGTAATTTGTATTTGAAAAAATCTATTTAAAACCAGCCAGCTTAATTTGATGTCAAGTTCAAGCATTTAATTTTCTGCCAAATTGGCACATCCAGAGGTTAAGGAGAATAGCTGCATAAGGACATACCCACACACAATAAAAAACCCAGGATGATTCAATATAGTATTAACTTATTAAGTCTCATTCTTTAGAGATAGAAAGTAAGAGTTTTTCTGTTACTGTTTGTTGCCAGAGGTTTTGCCCTTGCTTATGGAAGCAAATTTTGCAACTCAAAAGCATAAAGCAAATCAGAATTTTCTTGCCTAAAATATTTTTAATGGGAAATGTACTTTATGCAGCATTAAATGGAAAGAATGGAAAGAATAGAAAATGTCTGCTAGCTGCATCTGAACCAAGTCCGCTTTCCTGTGCACCACCCTGGGGCCACGTCATCTCCTGATTCTGCCCTTGCCGGCCCCTCCACGGTCTGCCTGCTGCCCCTCCAACCCGTTCTCCGCGCGACAACCATAATGGGGTTCTCAGAAAGTGAGACCAGTCCTGTCCTAGGCCGCCTCCTCTACAGTTCTTCAAGGGTGTCCGTGGTTCTTGGGGTAAAAGCCGACAGCCTTCAGGAGGCCGGCGGACCTGATCTCTGGCGGCTGGTGCTCCTCCTGCAGGCCGTCGCCGACAGGCTCACAGGGCCTTCGCACAGGCCCCCTTCCGTAACCTAGCTAACTCCTTGTCTTTCAGAGTGACACTGCTACCGCTGCCTCGGAGGGGCCTCTCCTGACCCCACACAAGGGCCGTGAGCTGCTCCATGTGCTGGTAGCTCCGTGTCTCTTGGCTTCAAGACCCTTATTACAGTAGTGGTTTTACATGTATTCACATGGTTATTGGAACGCCCATCGCTGATGAGATTATCCGCTCTGTGTGGGTAGAGAGTGGCCCTTGCTGCTTACCTTTATCCCCAGCAGCTTGTACAATACCTTTATTAAGTGAATAATATGATAAGCTACCGAGCCAACGTACTGTGTAAAGCAAATTATGAAAAAACAGCATTTTGGTGAATGTTTGGTGTTTGTTTTATCATTTGTTTCATTATTACCTGGTTAAGCTCAGTTTAGAAATGAAAAAAGAAAGATAAATTGTCACTTATTGAATATTGCCTAAAGAATATGTATGCACCTGTATTTTATGTAAGAAAAAAATAGTTTCTCAGTCTTTGCATAACACACACTCCATGTAGGAATAATAGTAGTCAGCATTAAATACAACTCCATTTTCATAACAACCGTGCATCTTTATGTCAGAGCATTCAGAGGATGTTGCCTCTCAACTTAAATTTACAGTAAAAGATGTTTTCAGAAATAAGTACTTATGAAATTGACAAGCTACAACAGGTTCTTGAGGCAAATAGCTCTAAAGCCTGGACAGAAGGCTCCTTAGTTTCACATTGTCTAGAAACAGTTTCACAGATCATTTAGAAAATCAGCCTGGAGGTAATCATAATAAACCACATTTCCCATCCATGCTTGAAGCCGATCTTGCTTGAGAGTTGATGAGATAGCGCCTGTTGTTGCGAGTAGCAGTAGGGCTTGACCCTGATACGTAAGCTTTGATTCTGGATCAGTTTTCTGGCATGGGCAGGTCAGGAGTTATCCTTCGGAATCCTCATCCGTGAATTTCAGCAAGTAAGTATCCACGTTATCTTTTCCTTCAGCCTGTCAGCCTTTTCTGAGAAATGGTGAATATCATCTCAGATGCGTTTACTGTGGCTTTTGTTTTTAAGAGTTAGCACACCATTTTGTCAACGGAAAGGCAGAAATGACCTCTCAAGGCAGCTAGTGAGCCTGGCTAGAACACGAATGGAAACCAGTGGGAATCCCACAGGGTGTACAGAATAAGAGGCAGTTGTAAGGGCTAGGAAGGGAGCTTCCCAAACCATTTCCCCACGAGTGTGGAGGCGAGCACGGCCCCGAGGGACTGCGGCCGGTCCCGGAGCCTGGCGTCATGGCACCGTGTGCGCCGGGACTGGGTACCCCTCTCCATGTGGGGCCAGCGGCCAGCACTGCTCTCCACCTGCCTGTCCCTCTCCAGAGAAGTCGTGCAAGGACAGTTCGTTAGTTGCCTTCTTAGCGCCATCACAGGTCACCCCGTGGCAGCTTTGCCCAGCGCCGTCGTCCTGCAGCCCGCGCCTCCCCAGTTTACTCGTGTAACAGGGAGGAATGACGGCGCCTGTCTCACGGAGCTGTTGTGGGGATACAGGGAGAAGAGCTTTCAGCTCAATATCTGGGAAACGGTAAATACTTAATTATGATGACAGTGTCAAATACTTGTCCTTATGATGAAGTGTTTTGGGAAGATTTTATCAATAGTTCTGTCATGGTTGAGGTGCCATATTTTTATAAAAATTAATTCGTTAATCTTGATCTTTTTTCCTTAGGAAAAAAATTAAGTAGACAAGTAAGTACACTGTTCTCAGCATTCCATCAGAATTATTTTTAACCATATTTTAGTAATGGGAATATTTGTATAATTTTAAAGTTTACATGGCACATTTACATATGAGCTCATTTTCCTAGCAACCGTGTGAAGATAGCAACGTAGGTGTTATTGTTCTAAATTTTATAGCTCGGGAAACAGGCTTAGAGCCGCTGGCTAGCTTGCACGTAGTCATATGAGTGGCCTTAGAACCCAGGTCTTCTCGTGGCTCGTCCGGGTTTAGTTACTTCGGATTCTTCTCTACGAGACTGTATTTACTACTTTGGAGTTAGTAGAAATTATTGCCTAGAGACTGTTCTGATGTATTTCTGTTCTTTCTGTGTATATTTTCACTCTTTGTTTTTTGGCTTTCTCTTTTAGAATCTTTTGAGTTGGAAGAAATTTCACAAGCGGCTTATATCAACTGCCTTATATTATCGAAGCAAAGGTCCAAGGAAGTCAATGACTTGATTAAGATCTTACAGCTAGTTTGTAGGAGCAGCAAGACTGATATCTAGGTCTCCTGATACTTAGCTTATTGCTAGTTTTTTTTTTTTTTTTTTTTATTTATCTTCTGAGAAAAATGGGGAATGCAGCCTGGATTCTTTTGGTTATATTTTGTGTCCACCAATATTATAACCTTTAATTATGATGGGAAACATATACTTTTAGTTTCTTAAGTTTTTGCTTCAGATATAGGTAAATATTAAATGTATACTAGTGAGTTTATTATAGTTATTTGATATATCTTTATCTCAGCATAGTGGATAGGGACTATGTTTTATTCATGTTTTTACTTCCTACTATGTTTGACACATTTTATATTCATAGTAAATATTTACTAAATATTTGTTAGATTGAATTTCATGATGGATGGTGCTGCAAACTGGTATTTTTTTATTTGCTTTTAAAAATATCTGAAAATTTTTCCTGTTAAAAATACTTATTATTGTATCTGTAATTATAAGATTAATAAGACTATTGAAATAGAACATATCAACTAAAGATGATATATAAATATTTCTAAGATTGTGAATTTTATTCGTAACTGAATTCACTGAAAATTTTATTCTTGTTTGATTTCCTTGATAAATGTTAACACAGAAAAATAAAAGTCTTCCTTTTTCTCTGAGATTTTTTTTTTCTCTGAACAATGTTAATATATTGGTGATTGTTCAGGAAATCTTCACTCTGCCCATCAGCATTTTATCAGTTTCAGAGATGACTCTGAACTTGTATAGCTGGGACATTAACATAGGTATTAATGATAGTGGATTTCTCTTTGTGTAAATTGAGGACTTAGACTAACTTTCTTCACTAATTGCATTGTTCATTTTGAACTCACAGACTATATAAAAAAGAGAAAGAGAGCAAGAGCAAAATAAACTTGAAAGAAAAGTGAATCATTGAGTTAACTAGAGATCTAGGTTTTGAAGTAAAAGTTTTTTAGACCTGTAAAGAAGGACCCATTATCTTAGAAGATTCTGATTGCTTAGTAAAGACAAACTTTTGAGATTTGAGTGAGACTGGAATTAGAGGATTGAAAAATCTTTTTTTTTAAACTTTTTATTAAAATTTAACACCTGCAGAAAAGTACATAAGTCATTAACTGTACAGACTGATCATTTTCCCGAAGTGAAAATATCCGTGTAATCAGCACACCTTTTGAGAAACAGAACATTATTAGCATCCCGAAAAGCTCCCTTTGTGGCCCTTTTAGTCACTATGCTCTTGTCAGAAGGGTGACCACTCTTCTGGTTTCTAGCACCAAAGTCAGTTTTTCCTGGAATCATATAGTAAGTACTATGCTTCCTTTTGGTTCCTGCTGCTTGTGGTCCCATTTTCAGATTCATCCATGTTATGTATAGGTGTAATCATTGATTTTCATTGCTGTATAATGGTCAATTTTAGGAATATATCATAATTTATGCTATATATCCATTTTACTGATGGTGAACATTTGGATTGTTTTCTAAGCTGGTATTACTGCAGACTTTTCCACTATGAAGATTCTTATACATGTATTTTGCAGTTTGTGTTTTTTGTTGATTATAGAACTGGGGTGATCTAAAGCAATCTTATTTTTGGACAAGGAAAATCAGGAACAGAGTTTTGACGGAAGTTAGTTGATTTCTTTATGCATATCAAAAGTGTGATGTGTGTAGAAGGAAATACAAGTGCTTAATAAAGTTTTTTGAGGGCACTCAGATTTCATAGTTGGTAATCATGACTGCATAGAATAATTTGCTTTAATATATGTTTCAGTATTATCATCTGTAATTTCCTTATTTGTTCTTCATGCAGTATCTGAGGTAGCTTTTTCCCTGCTATGTGTGTACTTTTATTCTTTATTTCTGGGAATGCCCTGCCTATTCTTAGCTTTGTTTATAGAAATCCCACTCATTGTTTTAAGCCTGGTCTGTAAAATACTCCCTGACCTACCATTTGGAAATAATTCATCTCTCTCATTTTTCTATAATTACATCTTTTTTTATTTTTGTTGCATAATATCCTTATTATTACTTTTATACTCTTACCTTTATACTCTTAGATTGCAATTTTTTTTTGAGGATAGCTTTATTTATTTTTGCCTTCCTCAGTCCCTAAAATCTGTACCTTGCACATATAGGTAGGTATATAAATAATATGTTGGGGGGCACCTGGGTGGTGCAGTCGATTAACTATCCAACTCTTGGTTTTGGCTCAGGTCGTGATCTCAGGGTCATGAGATTGAGCCCCACGTCGGGCTCTGTGCTCAGCACGGAGTCTGCTTGAGATTCTCTCCTTCTCCCTCTCTCTCTGCCCCTCCTTCTCTCTCTCTCAAATCTTTTTTAAAAAATAAAAAAATAATATGTTGAATTTTGTTTTTTAATATGTTGAATTTTAAATGCACTTATGATTCTTATGTGTTCTGGAAAGATATCTAATTTATACTTTAGAAATTATTATAGAAGCAATAAATATTGATTCTGTTATAACCACACGAAGAGTATAACTGACATTTAGTATTGGAATTTAGTTTCAGTAGTAGAAGATGGTGGCTTAAGCTGGCTGAGGAAGTCTTACCAAAGAATGAAGGAACAAGCTGAGAAACAGAATAGAAATTTTGAAGACATTGTGGCTGAAAGATACGGGGTGAGTACTGATATTAATGAGATAGGTATTATATTTACAGTTATATGAGAAATAAGTGTCTTCAACTTTGTCAGTGTTTTGTGCCATGAAGCTCTTTTGAATTAAATGGATATTAAATCTCTACTACTGTCTAGTCTACTATCCATTAAATTGAAGGATTTTTTTTTTTTAATATTTATTTATTCATGAGAGAGAGAGAGAGAGAGGCAGAGGGAGAAGCAGTCCCCGCCGAGCAGGGAGCCCGACGCAGGACTCGATCCCGGGACTCCAGGATCATGACCTGAGCTGAAGGCAGTCGCCCAACCAACTGAGCCACCCAGGCGCCCAGGCCCATTTGGTTTTTACTGAAAGAAAAATTCTCTTCCAATTTAGCCTTCATCAGCAGTAAAGGTAGTTTTTGTCTTTTATTTCCTTAAGGTTTTGTTGTCTTTATAACTTGTTCAGAGCTTGCATGGAAAAGAAAGATGCCATATTTACTCTTCTCCTTTAAAGGCCCCCAGCCCCCACCCCAGAGCTGCCGCGAATAGAGTCAAACACATTGGTTTGGATTGTTTCTCTTAAGTAATTTGTACCCCAACCGAACTAGTGTAATCACTTTCCCTCATATGTCTCTGCAAATTCCTGGCTCTGCATCTTTGTTCATCTGGTTCTTTCTAAGTGAATTCCCTTTCTCTCTGTAAGTCTGCATCTTGTTTATCCGTCAAGGCCTAACTTGATATGTATTAAGAAGTTTTTCCTCTTTAACTGAAATAAATGGACCTTGCCTTAGAATCATATGTTGATTCTTATAATGGGAGTGGGGATAAAATGAAGATAATGGGAAGAAGTCTGATGATGGTCCTTCACTGAAGCTTCAGTGTGAAGTATGTTGATTTTATGTCTCCTGGTTTTTTCAGGATATCGTTTCTTTTGTGCTCTAGGCTGGTGTTTTTCAAAATGTAGGTCATGTAATTGAATTATTGCAATCAGCACTTAAAAATATAAAATATCAGCATGTATTATGTGTAATAAAGATACTTTTTAAAAAGACTTTATTTATTTATTTGACAGAGATTGAGAGAGGGAACAAGCAGGGAGGGGCAGAGGGAGAGGGAGAAGCAGGCTCCCAGTTGAGGAAGGAGCCCCACATGGGGCTCGATCCCACGACCCCAGGATCATGACCCAAAGCTGAAGGCAGTCACTTAATCAACTGAGCCACCCAGGCACCCCACATTTTGTTTCCTAAAACCTTTGATTTGGACGGACACACACACACACACACACACACACAGACGCAGGCACCCCACATTTTGTTTCCTAAAACCTTTGATTTGGACGGACACACACACACACACACACACACACACATCCAAGCACACATCCAATCTCTCTTTGGCTGAAGGTCGCAAAAAGATTTGCAAACACATGCTCAAGGCTGTGTCTCTGTTGTCTGGGCCTCTTCTGCCCGCACTGTGCTCTAATCTATGGGTGATTGCACGTGTCTGTAGACTTAGTCTGTAGACCATTATAGAGATGCCTACCGGTTTCTCAACCTTCTTTTGCAAGCAGGAGTTGCCCACACCCCAGTGCTTGGCTTCATGTGGTGAACTGGCTCCATTCCTCTTTCACTTGGAGCGTTTGTAGTAGTTATTATCTTACAGCAGTTGAACTAAGTAAGGGCTGTTACTTTCTGCTTGCACATAGGGCCCACTAAGGCCTGTGGTATTCAGGTCACTTTACCACTTTACATTTCTGTTCTCTTCTGGTCCACAAAGATGTTTATCTTGTTTTGAACTGAAGTATGTTTTGTATTTTGTGTATCTTTTCTGTTTGTCCTGAGCAAAGAGATTGTGATGAATGGAACCTTTATAAGCCATTTTGACTAGAAGGCCTGAGTGTGTTTTAGAGATTGATTTATATTGATATATCTTATTTCTGGTTCATTCCTTTTAATCACTATGTAGTCTTTAATCATCTAACTATGCCATACGGTAGATGTCCATTTTTGTGGGAATCTGTTTTTCACTATTTACAAACAGTGCAAAATGAAGATCCGTGTGTGTATTTTCTCATGCATGTGTGTGTGGACTTCTCCCTGGTGCACATCTAGAAGTGGAATTGCTAAGTTATAAGATATGCACCTCTCTTCTTTTATAAATACTTGCAAGGAGATTGTAATAGCTTCTACTGCCCCAACAGTGTGTCTGTCTATCCTTTCTCTCTCTCTTTCTTTCTTTTCTTTTTTCTTTTCTTTTCTTTCAAGATTTATTTATTTATTAGAGAGAGAGAGGAGGGAGGAGGGGCAGAGGGAGAGGGAGACAGAGAATCCTGAAGCAGACTCCCCGCTGAGCAGGGAGCCCGATGCGGGGCTCGATCCCAGGGCCCCGGGATCATGACCTGAGCCAAAGGCAGACGCTTAACGACTGAGCCACCCAGGCGCCCCAACCAACAGTGTATGTTCCTTTACCATACTTAGTATCTATATGGTCAAACTTTTAAATTTTTGTCATGCTAATTAATGAGTGAGAAATGACATTTCATTGTTTTTATTTGCATTTGACTGATTACTGTGAGAGAGCTTTTCATTTTTTTTGTGTCATTCAGATTTCTTATAGTACGAATTGCTTATGTGTTCTGCTTGTTTTTCTTTTAGGGTTGTCTTTTTCTTACTGATTGCTGGTAGTTGTTTATACATCCAGTCCTTTTACTGTTGTATATTTTCACATAATAGCCCACAGTTTGTCTGGACTGTTGTCAGGTGTTCTCCTCAGTGTGTAACTCCAGCCTTTTGTGTCCTGGTGAGAAGCTGATGTGTATCTCTTTGAGTATCTGCACAAGACCACTGGAAGAAATTCCTTGATTATAGACCCTTGGAGGTTTTGCGGTAGTCTAACAAGGGAGGTGACGGAATCTTTTTTGGTACTAACTAAACATCAGATCCTTATGGTTTTGCTTATCTTTTACTTGAACTTAAATTTTGTCCTTTGAAGATTCTGTACTGTTTTGTCAGCTCACGAATATTCTTTAAAAGGTTAAAAAAATTTTTTTATCCACCATTTTTGTTTTCAGTACTGTGGTTGGTTCATAGTACTAGAAAATAACATTTAACTCTCTTTATTCTTCTCCATCTAGTTCCTGTACTAAGAAACATTTTCTGACCTTCTGAGATCAAGTCAGATGCCCCAGTCTGTGGCTCTCTAGCATGCTTTACCTTCACAGCACTCAGCCGTATCGGACTTGCTTCATTCTCTTTCTCCTGTCTCCAGACCGCCATTGTTCTGATGGGAAGGACTGCCTGCCTTATTCGTTCGAGCTGCAGTGCCTGGCCCAGTGCTCGGAACACAGGAGGCGCTTGAATGGTGACGAGGCTGCCATCAGCTCTTTTCCAGTTGTAGCCACCATCATCTGACCGGATTTCTGCCTCTGATCTTGCTCTTCTTCAGTCTTTCCTCCACTCTTTGCTCTTTGTGTAGTTCAGAGTCACTTTCATGATTCACCATTGCCCCAGCATAAAACCCCAACAGCACATGGCCCTCATCCCTAATGATTCTACAACCTGGCCTCTTTTCACTACTCACTCATACTTCTAGGTTTTAGACAGTCTGGATAATTTTAAGTTCCTTGAAAATTTTCTGTTTCCTCTAGGGTTTTATGAACATGCTGTTATTCCTTCTCCCTGGAGCATCTCTGTGCCTTCTTCCCTCACAAGAGAATTTGGCTAATTCCTGCTCCTCTTTAGGTCTAAGGCTGCACGTATTACTTCCTCTAGAAAGTTCCTGATCTTTCAGTGTGAGAGAGGTTTAAATTGTGTGTGGCTTTAGCACTCTACACTTCTGTCCTCAAAGCCCTTGTCAGTTACTTGTTTATTGTCTCTGTTCCTCACTGTCTCAAAAGTTGGCAAAGGCTGAGTTAGGCACATTGACTATTTATTAGATCCTCTGCATCTAGAGCATTTCTGATTCATAGTAGGCATGAATGTTAATTTAGATGTTATTTTTTGCGAGTTGCAGAAGAGTGTCACTTAGGAGTGTTTTAAATATTTGTCCAACATTACAACTGTTAACTGAGTCTCAGATATATTATTTATTAACATATTTTATGGTGAGGCTATTTTTAAATTTATGATCTCCGAAAATGTTTCGTTCTAGTCCAGACTGCTGGAGAGAGAATTGAATCCATACTGGAAAGATGGTGGGACAGGTCTTCCACCAGAAGACTGTAACGTGTCATCACTTACCAAAGGTATCTCTAGATTTTGGCTGTAGCCAGAAAGGCGTGTCTTATAACTTGGTATTCCTAAGGGAATGACCAAGGTTAGTTAGTAGATTGACAAGATTTGGTTATTTAAATATTAAATATTTCTGCTTGGTGCTATAGTAGTTTTGATTATGTCTGCGATTCTCTGTGTTTGTTTCTGTATTTGCAAAACCACTAAGTTTTTGATTATCTGATGTGGAACCCATATGGTTTCATGTTATGAGTGCCTATGGATTATTACTGACAGTTCAAATAACATAATGGCAAAGCAAATAAAATGTGTGCAGTCTTTTGAGGCCTTATTTAAATTTGGTACCTGGGAAGATTATTTTGACTATATATGTTTGGGAGGAAATTGACTAACTGTATATATTATTATACTTGATAATGTTTCCATATTTGAGTTTCTGTTTTGGATGGATGAATACAAAGTATGATTCTGTGAGGATATAATGCTTTGGTTTGTTACAAATTCTCTAACAAAATGTAAAGTATTAAGTCTGAGATTTCATGAAAATAATGTATAAATATTAAAGATGTGATTTCATATCTTCAGAAACTCCTACTTTGCCAGCATTCATAAAATTTGTTATTTACCTTAGGATAGTGCTGTTATTTTCCAGCAGATGGAGATAAAATATTTAAGTGTCACATAATCACACTTGAAACCATAATTTAAAAAATATTTATATGCCAATGACGTGTTGCAACAACTAGTCCGTGAAAAGTGTATGTAACTACAGCTAACCCAGTGCAGAGAGGGG